CTATCAGATGAACCCTGGAGTCGGATATACTCTTGGAGGAGGATTTCATTGCACCACTTTTGACAACATCGCTCAAATCTTCAGAGAAGGACTACGTCCCGGAGGAGGAGGCGACCGAATCAACACGTTCTTCGTGCCATTCGCACCGTGGGACGTACGAAGTCAGTCGGTGCTGAGATTCAGGAAGATCGAACAAACTGATCTTGTCTACATCTACATCACGTACGACTCCCTTGCCAAGTTCTCCCCTCGATTGTCAGCAGACGGACACATTTTGGTCCAAGAAACAATTCCATTCGAATCATTCGATGCAGTTTGGTACTATGATTGCAAGGAAAAGGACTACTACCGTCTTATGATCACGAAGGGGAAAGATCAACTCGTGCTTTCTGTGCAAGGAGCAAGGAGGGTGGCCACCATTGAACGATTTGACAAACTCATTGGGAACATTGTGCCTGATGAATCATCACCCGATCTGGACGAACTTCGAAAACTTGTCGATATCAAGACCGGTCACTTCAGTCATGCTCACAGATTGTTCCCTGGACATCCGGATTGGAATGATGCAATATCATTGTTGGCAGTCACTCATCATCCCAGCAAGGAGGACCATCGACTATGCCCCGCATGTCTGATGGAGACCCCTGCGCCACTATCGATTTGCGTGATGTGCAAAGGATTTTTGGTGAGTCACGGATGGAAGAAACGAATCAAGATCACCGTGGCTACAGTACCAAGTGCCGAATCACATCATCGAGAAGAAGATCTCAAAGACCATGTCAAGAAAGCATGGGAGGAGGTGAAGATCGATTTGACAGGTGATGGTGATGGCGACGAGATGATGCCAGATGATGATGACATCAACATGAAGAGTCCAGAACAAGAACCTCAACCAGAAGAGGGAGATGATGATCAAGCCTCGAAGAAAGGCGACATCAATGATGAGAAAAGAGACTTCAGAGAACAAGACGAGGTCGACAAGTTTCTCAACCAGGAAGGAAAACCGACCGATGAAAATGACGATGAAGAAATTGCGGTCGGTGAGATCAACATTGAAGAGTATGAGGCTGGAGAAGCTCGTGATGCAGTGATTGAGTACCCCAAGTGGATGAAGCGGATTGAGTTCGGATCAAAGGTCCTACCAATCGAGCCCTGCACAATTGGAGATGCTCAACCGGAGCTCATCAAAATCCTCCTGTTACAAATTGGATTGCATATCGTCAGGATCTACAGACTATTCCAACGGAACTTCTGTGGTGACATCGATACGGCATGGAAACATTTTCAACAGACCCGAAAATTCAGGATGGACCTGGACTCAAGAGTGCCTTACCTAGGCGAGGATGAGAATGGTGAACTCGTTGAACCAACTGCACAACAGATGAAAATGCTCTACGAAGAGATCGGCCGACCAAACCAAAAGGACGACATCGGTGAAGAGGGATTCGTCAATGCATACTATGGGTCGGTGGTACTCAAACGACTTCTCGTGTATACCCTTGAATGCGGTTATACATATGAAGACTTACAAAATATCTTCTTCGATGAAGAGATGGAGAAGCTGTCGAAGCGCGACACAACGATGGACGAGATGAGGAAGACCACTGCGGCCCGCGACGCCCTTGACCGACAAGACGTCATGGTCAGAAGAATCATTGCAGGTGCATACAGAGTGAATGCTGTTTATTTCTTCAGGAACGTCGACTTTCAAGACACAATCACACTGAACCCAGTTGACATTGTGTGTGCTCTTCGTCCCGCACTTCGAAGAATATCACTTTTGCACCTGATCCTTCAAAATGGCCGACAATTGCCACGACCTCTACTACAGAAGCTGTATGATGCGATCGACGATTACAACCACATCAAACAACGGGACGATCAACGACCAAGATGGGGCATCCACATGACTGACGCCCACCTTCTTGCGATTGCTGATACCCCAACCCCTGCCGATCGTGAACGTGCTAACCAAGCCGCTGGCAAATCAAAAGCAGCCCCGAAAGCGGCAACAGCTCTGGGCAGGATGTCAAAGGCGAAAGCATCATCATCAGCAACATGGAGAACAGTTGAAACCGCTCCTCCGCCAAAACAAGCTCCAGTAACCCCGCCACAGAAAGGTGGAAAAGACAAAGGAAAAGGTGGAAGATCTTATTCGCACCGTGGTGGAGACTGGAACCATCAGGGATACTATGGATGGGGATATAAATGATAAATCGATATGACCTCTGCATAGGTCCTGATTGAACCTGGCGATGCGAGGATGCAATCATTGCTCGAGATTTACCTCTATTTCATTTCGAATGATTTCTGAGAGGACTCTGAGCCGACTAATTTAGAACCACACATTTTTTTTGAACATCATTGCACGAGACGCTGAGTTTCTACAGCGGTCTACATCTCAACCGACGAAGGAACGGGAAGGTAAACTTCTAGTTCCATAGTCAACTTTGTGTTTTGATTTCTTTAATTCACATGCTTGAGTGGGACTCCATGCTGGCTACGCCACATCGGATGAACCTCAATGCTAGACACCGACTACGTCGTGTCTACGTGCACGTGAACAGAACCCTTTTATTTTTTTGGTAGAGATCGTAGCAAGCCGCTATGTAGATGTAAAGTTCTGAACGGACTTTAGCTCTCCATAATTCAATAAATGAACAGCTGCGAGTATAGTGGATCAATTCAAGGGACACTCCTTAGCGCGTGGCCGACAAAGTTGGCCATGCGTGGGGGGTGCGAATAGAGTGTAAGCTACGGACCATTGTACAATATCACATAATTCAACAAACACTCTAAGATCCACAGCCAAAGGGTATGACACTCGCCCTTTTGGCTCAAGACCCACTGCAGCGACAGAGAAAACAATAGCAATGCGGAAGCTGGTGCCCTTGTTGCGTCGTCATTGGAACAACCACTTGGACATTGACAATTAGGACATAATCGGGCAAGCAATCCCCGATTCTCACATTACATACATTACATACATTACATACATTACATACATTACATACATTACATACATTGCATACATTACATACATTACATACATTACATACATTACATACATTACATACATTACATACATTACATACATACATATATAGACATATTTTTCTCATTTACTTATATAATATGGATAATGTCCTCGTTGCAACCGTGTGGGATGGCCACATCTTGCTCCACGATGTCGTTCTCTACCTGGGCGCTGGTGGGGATGCTGAGGAGCTTGGAGATGTTGGCATGAAAGGGGCATATCCCGCCGAAAGCGCGAACGTTTCTAAAAGAACAACCCTTACCCCAAGGGGCCAAGCAGAAAAACACCATTGGTTTGAGGACTTAACAGGCCAAAATTGGGTGAACGAGGAATTAAACAAAGATGGTCAAAGATGTATTGATGTATAGTAAGCCGCATGAAACTCCTTGAGCGTGAAATAATCAACTGTTTCTTGGGTAGTTGCGGGCCAAGAGTACTGCATAATGCTGCACCCCTCCAAAAAAGAAATATGCCTATATGTTTTGATAGCAGAAGTGACAAGTTTCGCGAGGTCCTTTTCTAACCTAACTTTTACATCCACTTCCCTGGTTGGAGATGACGACGATTTTTTTCGGAGGTGAAGCTGGGGATTTAACAAGCACAAATTTGGAAATGCGAAAACCAACCAACAAGTTTATCTTCTGAACCCGCTAGAACGCTAGCTCTGAGAGCCATGGTCGCAGGCTCGAAAGCCGCGCTCCGCCACGGCAAAGGCCCATGGCGGACCGTTTCAGCGGGCTTCGAGCTCCAGGGTGGCCGTGCCGGACGTTACCTTCTGAACCCGCTAGAACGCTAGCTCTGAGAGCCACGGTCGCAGGCTCGAAAGCCCGCGCTCTGCCAGCAAAACCCGATGGAGCTGACCGTTTCAGCGGGCTTCGAGCTCCGGGTGGCCGTGCCGACGTTACCTTCTGAACCCGCTAGAAAACCAGCTCTGAGAGCCACGGTCACATGTTTGAAAGCCCGCGCTCCGCCACGGCAAAACCCCATGGAACTAGCAGGTGGCCGTGCCGGACGTTACCTTTTGAGCCCGCTAGAAAACTAGGTCTGAGAGCCACGGTCGCAGGCCCGAAAGCCCGCGCTCCGCCAGCAAAACCCGAGGGAGCTGACCGTTTCAGCGGGCTTCGAGCTCCGGGTGGCCGTGCCGGACGTTACCTTCTGAACCCGCTAGAAAACCAGCTCTGAGAGCCACGGTCACAGGTTTGAAAGCCCGCGCTCCGCAATGGCAAAACCCCATGGAGCTAGCAGGTGGCCGTGCCGGACGTTACCTTCTGGGCCCGCTAGAAAACGCCCGAAAGCCTGCGCTCCGCCACAGCAAGAGCGGGCTTCGAGCTCCAGGGTGGCACTGCCGGATGGGCGTCGAGCTCCAAGGTGGCAGAGGGAAAACACGCTTTCTGAAGAAACGACGATTTTTCTCTGACGCGCGCCCTCTGCGGTTGGCAGGGGTCGGCGGATATGGATATATATATATATATACATACATACATACACACACATATGTATATATATATACACACACACATATATATATATACATATATATATTATATGTTGCTAGTCGTTCGTACATCCCCAAGTGTCAGCAGAGTCAAAATGTTTTCCTGTGAAGGCTTGATACTTTGTCACAAAGACCTTTTCGCATGGCGACCCAAGACATAGAAATTGTACTGAAGAAATTCTGCTCGCAGTCTGAGATGGAGAAAGGTCATCATTGGGACGTTGCATGATTTGTGTTGTGTTTTGTTTTGTGATGTTTTTTTGAAGAGGGAAATCATGCTTCGTTTGATGTTTTTTGCTGTGCCGTTGTGGTTCCCGGGGCAAAATAGGGACATTAGATCAAGTCTAAACGGATTGCATTTGCAGCGTGCTTTGATGCATTTCCCAAGTTATTTCAAAACATATTTTGAATTAACTGCAAATTTCTGGCCGCCCATCTTTGTCTGAATATTTTGAACGCATTCCGGTGGAAGGAAAACGTCCTCATGTGGCAGCCTCACTGGCACAGATTCAGAGGTTGGGATCACCGGGACATCGGCACGTCGGCTGTTGCGAAAGTGAGGGAATTAGGGGGTCACATGGCCAACTCACGGAATCATGGGATCACTGGCTCAACCTCTGTGCTTTCTCCCTCCACCATCCAAAATTCACCAACGCGCCACTCGTTTCAGTATATTATAGAATAAATACTCAACGGAGTGAACCATACATCAATAAATCGGCCAATCAACCAGTCAACCTCGTATCTTTAAAAACTTCAAGCAAGTTGTGAAACTTTAGTCTTGAGATATCTTGAGAGCATGTTAGAACTGTTAGAGCCCAAAAGGTGCCCCAGCGCAGGACAGCATGTCATCAGCCGGAGTTAGCGATACGAGCCGCCCGAGTTGTTCGGGCAGGAGTCAGAGTCACGAGCCGAGAGCTGTGCCCCACTGTGCCCCATTGTCTACGATGTTGTTCATGATTGGACGTAGTAACTCATCTAGTGAAGTATCTTGGCTACTGTCATTGTACATAATATACATATGTATGGTATGGTATGGTATGGTATGGTATGGTAAGTTATGTCATGTTATGTCATGTTATGGTATGTTAAATTATGTATGTATGTATGTATGTATGTGTGTATGTGTTTGCGTATGTATGTATGTATGTATGTATGTATGTATTAATGTAATGTAATGTAATGTACTGTAGTCTAATGTAATGTAATCTAATGTGTATGTAATGTAATGTAATGTGTATGTAACTAAATGTAATGTAATGTAATGCAATGCAATGTAATGTAATCTAATGTTATGAATGTAATGTAATGTATGTATTGTAATGTATGTATATAATGGTATGTATGTAGTGGTATGCATGTAATGGTATGTATGTAATGGCATGTATGTAATGGTGTGTATGTAATGGTATGTAATGGTATGTAATGGTATGTAATGGTATGTAATGGTATGTAATGGTATGTAATGGTATGTACGTATGTACGTATGTACGTATGTACGTATGTACGTATGTATGTATGTATGTAATGGTATGTAATGGTATGTAATGGTATGTAATGGTATGTAATGGTATGTAATGGTATGTAATGGTATGTAATGGTATGTAATGGTATGTAATGGTATGTAATGGTATGTATGTATGTATGTATGTGTGTATGTGTTTGCGTATGTATGTATGTATGCATGCATGCATGTATGTATGTATGTATGTGTGTATGTGTTTGCGTATGTATGTATGTATGCATGCATGCATGTATGTATGTATGTATGCATGTATGTATACATATATATATATATTGATTGATATTTTTGCAGAAGAATAATATTGCAGATATTATGGCATACAATTGTTATCAAAGGAAGTTGGGAAGCAATACTTCCGAGGTACGGACAAATAGAATTCTGAGTCTTGAAATGATGAAGGGTGGTGCGCGATTGACACTTGACCTTGAAGGGTGGTGTGCGGTTGAGACTTGACCTTGAAGGGTGGTGCGCGATTGAGAGTTCACCTTGAAGGGTGGTGTGAGACTTCACATGACCTTGATGAAGGGTGCTTGCAGATCGGATTGAGACTTGACCTTGAAGGGTGGTGTGCGATTGAGACTTGACCTTGATGAAGGGTGGTTGCAGATCGCATTGGAATGGCTGCATGATGTTGCAAGGGTCTGTTTTTGGGAGGAAGCCGGAGCACGAAACCTTGTCTTTTTCCGTGTAAAGTGGCTGCAGCCGGCGATGAAAGGTACCTCGTCTGTGCGGCGGGTGCGGCTGCGGTCGGTTTGCCTTTTTTTTTTGCCGCAGTGTAACGGTGGCTTCAAGCTGCTTTGGGTGTGCTTGTGTGTGCGTAGTTATAGGGTGTTTTGGAATCTGTGCTTGCAGATCGCATTGGAATGGCTGCATGGTGTTGCAAGGGCTCTGTTTTGGGGAGGAAGCCGGAGCACGAAACCTTGTGTTTTTCCGTGTAAAGTGGCTGCAGCCGGCGATGAAAGGTACCTCGGCTGTGCGGCGGTTGCGGCTGCGGTCGTTTCTGTCGCGAATTGTTCCTCCTATGTGTTTTACAACGAGTGGTTGTTCCTGTGTGCGTAGTTCTATGCTTTTCTTGAAGCTGTGGTAGCAGATCGCATTGGAATGGCTGCATGATGTTGCATGGGCTTTGTGTTGGGGAGGAAGCCGGAGCACGAAACCTTGTGTTTTCCGTGTAAAGTGGCTGCAGCCGGCGATGAAAGGTACCTCGTCTGTGCGGCGGTTGCGGCTGCGGTCGTTTCTGCCGCGAATTGTTCCTTCTATGTGTTTTGCAACGAGTGGTTGTTCCTGTGTGCGTAGTTCTATGCGTTTCTTGAAGCTGTGGTGGCAGATCGCATTGGAATGGCTGCATGATGTTGCATGGGCTTTGTGTTCGGGAGGAAGCCGGAGTACGAAACCTTGTGTTTTTCCGCGTAAAGTGATTTCCGACGCCATTGCACGTAGTTCTATTGTGTTTTGCAACTCAGTCTCTGCAGATCGCATTGTAGTGGCTGCGTCAAGGTTGCTTGGTGCAGCGGCTGCATGCGTAATACTATTGTCTTTTGCAGCTGAAGATCGTAAATCGTATTGGAATGGCTGCATCAAGGCTGCGAAAGTGATTTGTCAGCAGATTTTCTCAATTTTGGCGCTAATAATTTTCCTTTTAAAAATCATTTTAAGAAGTGCTTCAAAATCGTCTTTTTGTCGCTTTGGCGTCGAGATCCGGTTTTGGAGCTGCAATTTCCGACGCCATTGCACGTAGTTCTATTGTGTTTTGCAACTCAGTCTCTGCAGATCGCATTGTAGTGGCTGCATCAAGGTTGCTTGGTGCAGCGGCTGCATGCGTAATACTATTGTCTTTTGCAGCTGAAGATCGTAAATCGTATTGGAATGGCTGCATCAAGGCTGCGAAAGTGATTTGTCAGCAGATTTTCTCAATTTTGGCGCTAATAATTTTCCTTTGAAATTCCTTTTAAAAAGTGTTTCAAAATCGTCTTTTTGTCGCTTTGGCGTCGGGATCCGGTTTTGGAGCTGCAATTCCTGTTGTGATTATGTACAAGAAAGCTTCTCTGTGCAAAAACTTTTTCTGTAAAAGCTTGCTGTGTGTAAAAGCTTCTCTGTGTGTAAAAGCTTCTCTGTGTGTAAAAGCGTCTCTGTGTAAAAGTTTCTGTGTGTGTAAACACTTGCCATGTGTAAAAGCACTGTGCGTAAGTGTTCTGTGTGTAGACGCTTGCTGTGTGTGAAAGCTTGGTGTGTGTAAAAGCTTCTCTGTGTAAAAGCTTGTTGTGTGTAAAAGCTTCTCTGTTTAAAAAGCTTGCTGTGTGTGTAAACGCTTGCCATGTGCAAAAGCACTGTGTGTAAGTGTTCTGTGTGTAAACGCTTGCTGTGTGTGAAAGCTTCTCCAGTGAAGAAGCTTGTTGTGTGTAAAAGCTTCTCTGCTTGAAAAGCTTGCTGTGTGTAAAAGCTTCTCTGCGAAAGAGCTTGATGTGTGTAGAAGCTTTGTAGTACAAAGTTGTAGTACAAAGCAGTGCTGGGAAGTAGTTTGTGCAAGCTTTGTAGTACAAAGTAGTACTGGGAAGTGCTTTGTGCAAGCTTTGTAGTACAAAGTAGTACTGGGAAGTATTTTGTGCAAGCTTTGTAATACAAAGTAGTCCCGGGAAGTAGTTTGTGCAAGCTTTGTAGTACACAGTAGTACTGGGAAGTGCTTTGTGCAAGCTTTGTAGTACAAAGTAGTACTGGGACGTGCTTTGTGCAGGCTTTGTAGTACACAGTAGTACTGGGAAGTGCTTTGTGCAAGCTTTGTAGTACAAAGTAGTACTGGGAAGTGCTTTGTGCAAGCTTTGTAGAACAAAGTAGTACTGGAACGCGTTTTGTGCAAGCTTTGTAGTACAAAGTAGTACTGGGAAGTAGTTTGTGCAAGCTTTGCAGTACAAAGTAGTACTGGGAAGTGCTTTGTGCAAGCTCTGTAGTACAAAGTAGTACTGGAACGTGTTTTGTGCAAGCTTTGTAGTACAAAGTAGTACTGGGAAGTGTTTTGTCCAAGCTTTGTAGTACAAAGTAGTACTGGGAAGTGCTTTGTGCAAGCTTTGTAGTACAAAGTAGTACTGGGAAGTGCTTTGTGCAAGCTTTGTAGAACAAAGTAGTACTGGAACGCGTTTTTTGCAAGCTTTGTAGTACAAAGTAGTACTGGGAAGTAGTTTGTGCAAGCTTTGTAGTGCAAAGTAGTACTGGGAAGTGCTTTGTGCAAGCTCTGTAGTACAAAGTAGTACTGGGAAGTGCTTTGTGCAAGCTTTGTAGTACAAAGTAGTACTGGGAAGTGTTTTGTGCAAGCTTTGTAGTACAAAGTAGTACTAGAACGTGTTTTGTGCAAGCTTTGTAGTACAAAGTAGTACTGGGAAGTAGTTTGTGCAAGCTTTGTAGTACAAAGTAGTACTGGGAAGTGCTTTGTGCAAGCTTTGTTGTACAAAGTAGTACTGGGAAGTGTTTTGTGCAAGCTTTGTAGTACAAAGTAGTACTGGGAAGTGGTTTTTGCAAGCTTTTGTAGTAGACATCAGTACTGGGAAGTACTTGACATAAAAATAGCCAAGAAGAACGTAGCTGACATATGGGAAGACATGGAATGAGATGAGAAGAGCTCAGATGAGATGAGTTGAGATGAAGTGCAAGTACCAGGGAAAGTGTTTGCATTGTACCGGGGTCGCGCGCAGGTCATGTTCTTGGACAGCAACACTGCAACAGCTTCGCACAAAGCACGCACGCACGGGCATGGATGACGCACGGCGCATGCAAGTTCCTTAGTAGTAGTACTGGGAAGTGATTCATGAAAGCTTAGATGACATATGAGAAGAGATGAGATGAGAAGATAAGGTGAGAAGAGCTCAGATGAGATGAAGTGTGGAGTGTGAAGAGAGCAGTGTGAAGTGTGGGGCGTGAAGAGTGCAGTGTGAAGTGTGGAGTGTGAAGTGTGGAGTGTGAAGAAAGCAATGAGAAGTGAGAAGTGTGAAGTGTGGACTGTGAAGTGTGAAGTGTGAAGTGTGGAGTGTGAAGTGTGAAGTGTGGATTGGGAAGAGTGCAGTGTGAAGTGAGAAGTGCGGAGTGTGAAGTGTGAAGTGTGCATTGTGGAGTGTGAAGAGTGCAGTGAGAAGTGTGAAGGGCGAAGTGGAGCTTCAAATGTGACATGTGAAACAGGACACCACTTTCGCAGAGTGCACGCACGCACGGGCTTGGCTGACGCACGGCGCATGCAAGTTCTATAGATGAGAAAGGTCTTTTATATATATATATATCTTTAAGGCAACTTCCGCCCCGCCTCGTGCGGGTACTACTGGTAATCTACAGTAATCAATCAGACATGTGTTCCACTTTCCACCCCACCGAGGGGGTACCGGCTCATCCAAAGTGCGACTACCCAGCTTGGTCCACTCTTGATAGGCCCTGGCTTTGTGAGTTGGTTTTTAAGATTCTTTTGATTTGCTTTGCAGGAAGAAAAGCAATAGAACTTGGGGTCTTGGTGGTTGTTGCTGTGGTGGATAGTTGTAGTCAATGGGACACCCTACGCTCTTCCGGCTGCTTATGTTAGAGACAGTAATGACTGTGACGATCATATTGCTTTCCTTCTCGTTTCAGCTGCCGTCTCAGTTGTTGTCATCATGGTCATCGTTGTAATCGTCCTCCTCCTCCTTTTTGTCCTCATCCTCACTCTCATCCTTGGCAATTTTTCCGCTTTTTCGCACCATCATAATGACCGTCATAATGGCCATCATAATGACCATCATAGTGACCATGACCATGACCATGACCAGCAGCTGCATCAGCTGCATCAGCTGCATCAGCTGCATCAGCTGCATCAGCTGCATCAGCTGCATCAGCTGCATCATCATCATCATCATCATCGTCATCATCATCATCATCATCATCATGACATCATCATCACCAAAACGACACCACCACGACCACGACACCACCACAACCATGACACCACCACGACCACACCACCACGACACAACCCCGACACGACTGCGACACCACTGCCACACCACCACGACACCACCACAACACCACCACAACACCACCGCGGCACCACCACGGCACCACCACGACACCACCACAGCACCACCACGACACCACCACGGCACCACCACGGCACCACCACGGCACCACCACGGCACCACCACGGCACCACCACGGCCCCACCACGGCACCACCACGGCCCCACCACGGCACCACCCATGGCACCACCCATGGCACCACCATGGCACCACCATGGCACCACCATGTCACCACCATGGCACCAGCAGGCAACATCATCATCATCATCGTCGTCGTCGTCGTCATCATCATCATCATCATCACCATCACGATCACCACCACCACCACCATCATCATCATCATCATCATCATCATCACCATAGCCGCCACCACCACCACCATCATCATCATCAACATCATCATCATCATCATCACCATCACCATCACCATCACCATCACCATCACCATCACCACCAGTATCACCACCAGTATCACCACCAGTATCACCACCAGTATCACCACCAGTATCACCACCAGCATCACCACCAGTGTCACCGCCAGTATCACCACCAGTATCACCACCAGTATCACCACCAGTATCACCACCAGTATCACCACCAGTATCACCACCAGTACCACCACCAGTACCACCACCAGACCAGTACCACCATCAGACCAGTACCGCCACCAGACCAGTAGCACCACCAGACCAGTAGCACCACCAGACCAGTAGCACCACCAGACCAGTAGCACCACCAGACCAGTAGCACCACCAGACCAGTAGCACCACCAGACCAGTAGCACCACCAGCACCACCAGCATCACCACCACCACCACCACCAGCAGCAGCAGCAGCATCATCATCATCATCATCACCATCATCATCATCACCATCACCATCACCATCACCATCATCATCATCATCATCATCACTATCACCATCATCAAAATCATCACCATCGTCGTTTTCCTCATGGTCATAGTGGGCATTTGGGTCGTCATGTTTGCGGAATCTTTGAGGCGCTGGATGCCATTTTCGAGCGCGCGCGGGCAGGGAAGGCTACCAACAATGTGACGCCTCGTGCTGAAGGCACGCATGACTTTCTGGAGTCAAGAAAAATTGGAAAAACGTTTGGGTCGGCATTCCAAGTTTTGCAGCGCCGCGCAAGCCCTTCTGACACAGCTGTCAATGACTTTTCTGGGATTGACGGTTTCGACTTGCCAGGATCGCTGTCCACCACAGCATCATCCCAGGGATCGAGTCCGCGCTTTGTGACTCCCTTGGAGCGAGGTTTGCCGGGTGAATGCGGGTGGGGCGAAGGGCAGCCTCAATGTTGCCATTGAGCTCGTGGTTTTGGATGAATTATCAGATTCTTGATCAATTGGAAAAAAGGCATATTTGAATGTTTCCTCAATGGTGGCATTACCAACATGTTACATGTTGACCTTTGGACCGGACATGCCAACAGGCGCATTGGAGTCCCCAAAGCCCACCATGGCTGGTGCTGCTTGGGCCAGTGCCTCAGTTGCTGGGCCAGTTCTCAGAGGCCTTGCCGTGTGCCAGAAATTTGTTGTTAATGCGCTGAACTGTTGAACATATGTTGTCACGAGAAAGTTCAACCCCTCCAGCACTTCCGCGTCTCGGGGCTGCCGCGAAATGCTTCAGACCTGAGAGGTGAGAGTTTGCAGCATCTTCAATTTCTAATATGTGCTATGTTTCCCATGTGTCTCCCAGCTTGTCTCCTGCTGTGTCTCCCATCCTGTGTCTCCCACTTTTGCCTCCCACTGCTTCCCACTTTGTCTCCCTCCTTGTCGCCCACTATGTCTCCCACTGTCTCCCACTTTGTCTCCCACTCTGTGTCCTTCCGCCTTGTTGCCCACTGTGTCTCCCACTGTCTCCCACTTTGTCTCCCACTCTGTCTCTCACTGTGTTTCCCTTGTCTCCAACTGTATCTTCCAGTTTGTCTTCCACCTTGTCTCCCATTGTCTGTGTCCCCCCACTCTGTCTGTGTCCCCCCACTCTGTCTCCCAGCTTGTCCCCACTGTGTCTCCCACTTTGTTTCTCGCTTTGTCTCCCAGCTTGTCTCCCGCTGTGTCTCCCACTTTGTCTCCCGTCCCGTGTCTCCCACTTTTGCCCCCCGCTGCCTCCCACTTGTGTCCCACCCTGTCACCCACTGTGTCTCCCACTTTGTCTTTGCCTTGTCGCCCTCTGCGTCTCCCACTGTCTCCATTTTGTCTTCCACTCTGTCTCCCACTGTGTCTTCCTTGTGTCTCCCACCTTCTCTCCTACCTTGTCTCCCAGTTTGTCTTCCACCTTGTTCCAATCTATTGAAACACGGGGCGGTCTCCCGCCCACCAGGGTCCCTTGAACCTTGAAACCTTGTCTTTCCGTGGTCTTCCAGTTGTCTCCCTCAACTCCCAGTTGTCCCCCAGATGTGGTGTACCACTTGTCTTCCACTTGTGTCCCAGTTGTCTCCCTGTCTCCCAGATGTCTTCCACTTGTCTCCCACAATCTCCCACAATCTTCCACTATCTCTCACAATCTTCCACTTGTCACCCAGTTGTCTCCCAGTTGTCTTCCTGTTGTCTTCCACTTGTCCCCCAGTTGTGTCCCAATTGTCTCTCAGATGTCTCTCAGATATGGTTTCCCAGATGTTGTCTCCCACTTGCCTCCGAGGTTTGTCCACTTGCTGTCTACTGGTACTTGTTTTTGAACAAATTGCCCAATCGAAAGCGAATAGATGTTGGGAAGGCTTTTGAACTGTAGTATTGCCAAACAAGTAGTTGAGAAAGCTTCCATTTGGAACTGTTTAAGGAAGATCCCCAAAGTTGGAGTACTTTGTATTTAGGGGGCCACCGCTTTGTTTGGGGGTTGAGATAGCAAAACCAATTTCAGTAAAAGGGTGTTTGGACAGCTAATATATTCACTTGAACATTTCCACAAAAATCCAGTTACTTTACTTAGGGGGGGTCAAAACATTGTTTTTTTTTTTGGGTTCCGAGGTGGTTCAAGGCCTCGCGCTTTGCGTCATTGTTTTTTTGCATTCTTTAATAGAGTAATGTTGGATCCTGATTAGTGTAGGCCGCCCCCTCCCCCCCAAAACAAAATTTGAATCCTCGTTAAAGTGGAAATTTCAAGGGACCGGGTCCTGAATACTGTGGAAATGAAAAATTTGATAGGTTTCAATTGATTTCAACTGATTTTCAATTGATTTCAACTGATTTTCAATTTACTTTCAATTGATTTTCAATTGATTTTCATTTTACTTTCAATTGATTTCAATTTACTTTCAATTGATTTCAATTTACTTTCAGTTGATTTCAATTTAAACTCAGTTGGTTTTCAATTGATTTCACTTTACGTTCAATTGATTTTCAATTGATGCCAACTCACTTTCAATTGAGTTTCAATTGATTTCAATTTAGTTTGAACTTATTTTCAATTGACTTCAACTTACTTTCAATTGACATCCCATAGAAAGCCCATAGAAATATCATAGAAATATTTTTTAATCCCATAGTAATCTCATAGAAATATCACAGAAATCCAAAAGAAATATCATGGATATCCCAAAGAAATCCCATAGAACTATCATAGAAATACCGCAGAACCCCCATAGGAACCCAAAGGAAATCCCATGGACGTCCTATTGAACCCCCATAGGAATCCCACAGAACTGCCATAGACACACCTTTAGAAACACCATGGAATATCATAGAAACACCATAGAAATTACATAGAATTTCCATAGAAATTTTGTCAAAATCCCATAGAAACACCATAGAAATCAAGGAGAGGATGCCAGGAGAATTGAACTAAGTAAGAGACAAAAGCTATAGCAAAGGAAAGGAAAAGGAACGGAGAGAATGATTTTGTTTTTTTCTTCAAACAAAAATTGGACACAATAGTGAACCCCCCAAAACAAACATACTATTGTGGATCAGGGTTGCTCATGGACTACCCCCTTGAAAAATTGTCTGAGTGCTGTTTTTTGATTGGGTTTTCATGAGGCATCATATATTTTGGGAAATTGGGCATTTCCGAGAATTTCAAATGAAAGAAACTAAGAAAGCAAAAAGAACTTTAGCAAAGGAAAAGGTAAAGGGAATGTTTGAAAAAAATCACCTCAGGAAGCAGCTGGGCACAATAGTGAACCCCCAAAACAAACATACTATTGAGGATCAGGGTTGCTCATGGACTACCCCCTTGAAAAATTGTTTGGATGCTGTTTTTTAATTGGGTTTCAATAAGACATCATATATTTTGGGAAATTGGGCATTTCTGAGAATTTCAATTGAAAAAAACAAAGAAAGCAAAAAAAACTTTTGCAAAGGAAAAGGTAAAGGGAATGTTTGAGAAAAAACGCCTCAGGAAGCAGCTGGACACAATAGTGAACCCCCACAACGAACGTACTATTGAGGATCAGGGTTGCTCATGGACTACCCCCGTGAAAAATTGTTTGGATGCTGTTTTTTAATTGGGTTTTAATAAGGCATCATATATTTTGGGAAATTGGGCATTTTTGAGAATTTCAAATGAAAGAAACTAAGAGAGTAAAAAAAAACTTTAGCAAGGGAAAAGGTAAAGGGAATGTTTGAAAAAATACACCTCAGACAACAGCTGGACACAATAGTGGACCCCCCCACACAACAAACACATTATTTAGGATCAATATTGTTCATGAAAAAGAACGTTTTTTTTTTTTTAAACTAAAATAATAATTTTAAAAAATAAAAGAACACATTTTTTTTCAAAAAAATGAAGCTTTAAAAACTTGAAAAAATGAAACTTTAAAAAATGAAATAAATTAAAAAATAACAAATAATCTAAAACAAACTGAAAAACTTACCCCAAAATCCTGGGGACACAATAGTGAACCCCCAATCATTTCCACAGGTTCAGAATTATTTTGGAGTCTGGGGACACAATAGTGTACCCCCACACTAATCAGGAGCCACCACTAATAAAGAAATCGATGCATTTAGACCTTTCGGGATTTTGGTTCGAATGTTTGAGGTCAGATTGGTCAGATTCAATAAATCAGGAGGGAAAAAACTGAAAATCAAAAGACTTGTTGTTAAGAAAAACAACAACCCCAAAAACGGGGGGCGTACTTTATCAGGGTGGGTCTTGTTTTATTTTGGTCAATTTAGCGTATTTTGTCGTGGTCGTGTTTACTAATGCGATGTCAAAATTATCAGTGTTCAGTTTTACTGTGTATCTGTTTGTGTACTTGCATTTGGCGGATCTGTACATGTGTGTGTTTGAGCAGTGTGTGCCTTGTTTGTGTGCACGCGCCTGTATGTGTTTTGCCGGTGCCGGTGCCGGTGGATGTGCATGAGTTTGCGTTTGTGGTGTTACCACGTGGACAGACCATCCAAAAGACTCTAAAAGTGACCCTACCTTGAGGGATGAAACTCAGAGCCATGAGGTGCTAATGCAGTTGTGCAAGCAGGAGACTCCCAGTCAGGACACCTGTGCCCGGTTTGGCGAAATTGAAGCAACTTTGATAATGGTCGCAGGTTCGCCTGGGATCTTGGAATTCTGATCGCTTAGGATCGCTTGGTACATCTGCTGGACCAGGGTTTGATCAGGGCTGCTTGCATTCCAAGGGGACTCTCTGTTTTCCTGATTTATGTGAACAACATTCTCTTGGAATGCTGTGATATGCCTATGTGATGCAATAACTTTTGCCCACGCTTTGTCATTGTCCCTTGATTGATCGATTCTCCCCACCTCCCAACACAACTGAATGGTGAGTGCAAGTAGCCTTTCCCTGATGGCGATCAACTCATGTTTCGCACCTTCACACACACACAAACACATGACGTTGGAATTCCATGTAGAGAGTGTAGCTCTCTTAGCCCTGGCTCCTAAGTGATATTAATTTGGTCCCAAAAGTGATCCTGATTCAATGGTCCTGCTGGTAAGTGATCCTTGTACCTTCTAGATGGTACATGCCGGAAAGTGTTAACCCCACCCAGTTAGGCAAGGGATTGACATGTTTGGATCGATTTCCACAATATCGAGTTGAGCTTCCCAAAGTTGGTGCCTCTGGTCTGGGTTTCCTACAACGATGCCGGCGGGAGGAGGCAGAGCAAAAACCAGCTCCTTCCGAGACGCAGGCTCAGAGACTGAAGATGACACCGAGAAATGGGACCCTCGATGTGGACGCAATTTCAGGCTTTGCAATGCCCTGCAAGATTTCTTCGCTTTGGCATCACAATGCCTGAAATTGCTTTCCACCGCTCTCCCGTGAATGTGGTTTTTCGAAAAGGCTTCTCGGGACTTAGCTTTCATTCACAGCTGTACGAGCAACACCAGTAGCACCAGCGCCTGTTCAACAAACAGTTGCAACCCATCTTGTAGCGCAGCTTCAGCTTGATTCCGTGTACTGATCAGCAACACACGTGCAAGTTGGGTGCCCGAGAAAACCGATGGAAATACAATGAGCATTCGAACTCTGCTGTTCCACTTAATTTGATTTATTGAACCATGCTGGGCATGGTTAGGCGCCTTTGAGAGGTTTCTATTTCAGAGTGCTACTGCCACTGCCAGGTGGTTTCCAGCACAAGAAGTTTCAAGTCCTCAATGATTTCCACCGAGGCTGGGCTTGTGGCTGAAGAGAGTGTGTGAGCCACGATACTTTGATCACTTTGGTCAACCAAGATGGTAAGTTTGCACAATTTTGAGTCCTGAATTCCTTTTGATATGTCATTGGTATTCCTCCGGCACCTAGAATCTGGTCTTTTGTCCAGCCAGCCATCTTTGCCCAATGAAATGTGATTCATTGTGATCTATTTGTGACGAGACTGGGTAAAGAATTTCATGGTTGGGAAACGCAGATGTTGGCCTGTTGTCCATGTGTCGAATAGTGCGCTATTAAACACTTTACCCATGCCAAGCTGATGATTTGAATCTTGGTTTTGCATATTGGTCGTTCGAAGGAGTTTCGACTCTTCGCTCCGACAAAACGTATTTGCCTTTTACGAAACTCTTTATTTTTTGTCGTGTGAAACGATACTATCCCCCTCAACGCGTAGAATCACGAAAGCTAGCCGTGCTAGCTGAAGTTGCTCTTGCTTTAGCAAGGAACAGGCAGGATCAGGACGATTGGAAACCCTGAAACTTTCCAGTTAGACCCCAGACCCCCCCCTACCCCCCCCTCCGTATGAGGGAACTTTAGGGTCTATGTGACGCGGCCACGTTTCCTTGAAAAACTCATGGAAAAGTACGATACTTAATGAAAAATAATTGAAAACTCGTTAATTTCAGTGTTTCTTTTCAAAATTGACAAATAACTAAATTAATTAAACAAATTGGGAGCTCCATTTTTTTAATTTTTTTGAATTATTCAAGGAGCAAATGAGGCAAAAGTTGAAAACAATTAATTGTTTATTTTTTTTGCAATTATTTTAATTGTTTCCTTTTGAAATTGGCAAATAATTAAAACAATTAAAAAAAATCGAACATTTGGGAGCTCCATTTTTTAAATTTTTGTAATTTTTGTAATTATTTTAATTGTTTCCATTGAAAATTGACAACTAATTTAAAAAAATAGAAAAATTGAAAAAATTGAGAGCTCCGACTTTTATATATATTTTTTTGAATAAATTTTAATTATTTTAATTGTTTCCTTTCAAAATTGGCAAATAATTAAAATAAGTAGAAAAATTGAAAAAATGGGAGCTCCGATTATTTTTTAATTTCTTGTAATTTTTGTAATTATTTGCTAATTTTAAAAGGGAACAATTAAAGAAATTAAAAAAAATCAAAAAAATAAACAAATAATTGTTTTGGACTTTCCTTCTTGAAGCTCATCTCGAATTGGACAATTTGAGAACAATTAATTTTTATTTTTTTTTCTTTTTATTAATTTGTTTTAATTATTTTAATTGTTTCCTTTTAAAACTGGCAAATAATTAAAATAATTAGAAAAAAATCGGAGCTCCAATTTTTTTTCATTTTATTTAAGTATTTTAATTGTTTCCTTTTAAAATTGACAACTAATTAAAATAATTAGAAAAAATCAAAAAATTGAGAGCTCCGATTTTTTTTTATTTTTTGCATTTTTGTAATTATTTTACTTGTTTCCTTTTAAAATTGGCAAATAATTCAAATAATGAGAAAAAATCAAAAATTTGGGAGCTCCGACCTTTTTAATTTTTGTAATTTTTGTAATTATTTTAATTTTTTCTTTTTAAAATTGGCAAATAATGCAAATAATTTTAAAAAAATGAAAATTTGGGAGCTCCTTTTTTGTTTTATTTTTTCAATTTTTTTAATTATTTTAATTGTTTCCTTTTAAAATTGACAACTAATTAAAATAATTACAAAAAATAAAAAATTGAGAGCTCCGATTTTTGTTAATTTTTGTAATTATTTTAATTGTTCCGTTTTAAAATTGGCAACAAAATAAAATATTTTGAAAAAATCAAAAATTTGGGAGCTCCGATTTTTTTTAATTTTTGTAATTTTTGTAATTATTTGCCAATTTTAAAAGGAAATAATTAAAATAATGAAAAATATTCAATAAATCCAAAAAAATAGAAATTAATTGTTTTGGACTTTCCTTCTTGAAGCTCATCTCGAATGGGACAATTTGAAAACAATTAATTTTCTATTTATTTTTATTATTTAATTTTTTAATTATTTTAATTGTTTCCTTTTAAAATTGGCAAATAATTCAAATAATTAGAAAAATTAAAAAAATGAGAGCTCCGTTTTTCTTAATTATTTTATTTTATTTTTTAATTATTTTAATTGTTTCCTTTTAAAATTGACAACTAATTAAAATAATTAGAAAAATTCAAAAATTTGAGAGCTCCGATTTTTTTAACTTTTGTACTTATTTAAATTGTTCCCTTTTAAAAGTGGCAAAAAAATAAAATAATTAGAGCAATTCAAAAATTTGGGAGCTCCGATTTTTTTAATTTTTGTAATTATTTGCCAATTTTAAAATAATGAAAAATATTCAATAAATCCAAAAAAATAGAAATTAATTGTTTTGGACTTTCCTTCTTGAAGCTCATCTCGAATGGGACAATTTGAAAACAATTAATTTTCTATTTATTTTTTATTATTTATTTATTTTTAATTATTTTAATTGTTTCCTTTTAAAATTGGCAAATAATTCAAATTGCAAAAGGGTTAATGTGCATGCATGTACAATAGGGTAGGTGTAGGATCTGGTCTTATCACTGCTTGACAGGTGAAGTATCTGTTCTTATCAGTGTGACGACTGGAGGCTCTTTATGGATCAAAAGTCGCGCTGCTCTGCCTAACACAGGTTATGAGCCCAACGCTCAGCTGAGGGGTGCCTGCCATGTCGTGGACTAGGTCGTGTTCGGTGCCACGTGGTGGAAGTGGACCTCGTGCTCTACGGCTGGATCAAGAAGGCCAAGAAGGGCATGGAAGAGACCGAGCTGGACATGACGGCAGAGACCTTCGGCGTGGAGATGAAAGAGCTCTACCCAATGGCAGTGATGGTCAAGGTGGAGGACGAGCTCTACTACGAGGCGAACATGGAGGGGCTCTACGGCAAGAACTGGATGTGAGCACTGACCTGTTGGACTTAGGCACCGAGCCGAATCCGTGGTGGTCAGAGGTGGTTCAACGAGAACACCTACAAGAAGCACGTCAGTTGGCCATGGAGCAGCCGATGTGGACGCCAAGGGAAGAGGTCTCAGTCAAGGAGGACCTTCCAGAGATAGAAGATGCAGACGCGTCGCGAGAGTTGGAGCCGCTGGCAATGGGACGAATGAGTGCTCCGTCGAGTTGGAGTACAAGACGAGGTGTGGCCTTGCAGACTCAAGGGGCTATGCCATCAAATGATGATGAAGACCTTCGGCATCCTCAAGATGTTGGACAAGGTCAACATGCTGTACAGATTCAAGGTGTAGACCTTCGACATCCTCAAGATGTTGGACAAGGTCGACATGCAGTACACCCTCAAGGTGTGGACCGACAGTATCCTCAAGATGCTGGACAAGGTCAAGACCTTCGGTATCCTCAAGATGCTGGACAAGGTCACCGAGAAGTACACCCTCAAGGTGTGGACCGACAGTATCCTCAAGATGCTGGACAAGGTCAAGACCTTCGGTATCCTCAAGATGCTGGACAAGGTCACCGTGATGGGCACCCTCAAGGTGTCGAGCAAGATGAACACCCTCAAGGTGTTGAACAAGTTGGGCACCATCGAGGTGTCGCAGCAGGGCTACTTGCTGGAGAAGTGCAACGTTCTGGCAAGGAGCATGGTCAAGGAAGAGTTGCGCAGCCCAATGGGATGGGAGGTGAGATACCATCTCATGGGGTTGCAAGACAAGGTGGGAAGACTGGAGGACTGGGAGGTGAGATACCAGTTCAAAGGTCTGACATCATGCAAGAGGCTGGACACCATCGAGGAGTCAGCCGTGGACCCTTAAGGTCTGAAGTTAATGTGCAAGAGGCGGGACACCATCGAGGAGTCAGCC